GTCCCACCATACGGTGTAGAGGTTGCGATGGTACCAGGCGGCAGGCATGGGCTCAGCCCAGCACTGACCCTGTACCTGCTGGCAAAGCCAGTCATCTTAATGGCTGCCCTCTCTCAGAAGCCAGTCATTTGGCTCCATAAAGGATGCTCAGGCCAACCCATTGATGCTTTAGCTTTTTCACCTGCTTCAAGATGCCCTGCATCATACTGACTTACTTTCCGGCCAGTGGCTGTGTCTACACTGGCATGAATTTCCGAAACTGCTTAAAACGGAATACTATTCCGTTTTCAGTTTTTCCGGAAAAGGAGCATCTACATTGGCAGGCTGCTTTTCCGGAAAAGCCCTTTTTCCGGAAAAGCGTCCGTGGTCAATGTAGACACGCTTTTCCGGAAAAGAGCCCCGAGCGTCATTTTCACGATTGGGGCTTTTTTCCGGAAAAGACTACTGGGCTGTCTACACTGGCCCTTTTCCGGAACAGTGTTCTGGAATAAGGACTTATGCCCGAGCGGGAGCAGAATAGTTTTTCCGGAATAGCGGCTGATTTTGTACAGTAGAGCATCGTTGCTTTTCTGGAAATTCAAGGGCCAGTGTAGACAGCTCGCAGCTTATTCCGGAAAAGCGGCTGATTTTCCGGAATAAGTGGCCCAGTGTAGACACAGCCAGTATGTTTTATGCTCCACAGTGAAACAGCCCAGTTCGGTAACCCCTAGTCAGCAGAGTCTTGCCATTGAAGTTACAAGCACTACTTGTGGAGACAAGTTTGCCGAATCGGATCCTGAAGCAGGGCACATCTGCCTTTGTCATCCTTCTGGGTGGCACTCAATATGCTTCCAGGTGCGCTCTGTTTTGTGTTAGCTGATGAGTTATTGCACCGTTGGGAGATGGTTTGTTAGTGTCTTATTTGGGGAGTCACAATGCTCCATAATTTGCACTGGCTCCCCCAGTTATTAGTGCAAGGTAGCAAGGTTCAGCTGTATAGAAATTATTTTGTTTTATTAATACACCAGCTTAGCTTCAAAGCCAAACACAACCCAGGCCTGCCAATAGTGGGAAAGGGCAAAGTGAGGCCAGCCAGCTTCAGCAGTGTTACTGAGCATGCTCAGTCCATGAGCGCATGCTCAGTACAAGCAAGGCAACAGATCTGGAGGAGCACAGGCCCTTTCCCCGCAACACATCACCTCGGTCTAAAGGTCAAAAGTGATACCAGGCTACACTGTGCAACTGTTACAGTGACGCACACTTAGGCAATTGCGTCACCCTTGTGAAATTAACAGAACGCCAGCTCTTTTTCTAAGACCTAATTCATGCGGGAACAGTTTTTAAACACATTAGACTAAGGAGAAGATTAAAAATACATTAGCCTGGAGCAACTCATCATGGACCTGAAATACATGTGCTGCTGGTTTTGCAAATGAGTCATGCACTCGGCTGCCGCGTAGTGACGCAAATACAAAGACCCTTCATTTGGTTCGGCAGACCCACGTGAGCGGGAATCTGCCAATATGTTTCTTGTGGATTTTATTTTTTAAGGCACCGAGACAAATTTTCTAACCTGCACAAGCCTCTTGACATAGGCGCATAACGGAGTAGAAAATTTCACTCGCTGTCTCTCTCAGGGCTGTTTCCCACTCTGGCACTCCAAGTGCAGGAGATGGGGACTCACATAGGGCACGTCTAAACTATGTGGGGGAAAAAAACCCTTTTTCAAAAAATAGCATAAACCTCATTTTTAAAGGAAGAGCAGTTTTTTTTTTCAAAAAAGGGTTTTTTCACGAAAAAATCCACGTCCAGACTACTTCCACTTTCGAAAGTGAGATCAGAAGTTAAGCAAATCCCACAGAATTTTCATATCCTCTTTTGAAAATAGAATGCAGTCTAGACATAGTCAAAGAGCTCAGAAGAAAAAAAAAACCCTTTGCCTCTTCAGGCACTAGTTACCAAAACTTCCCAGCCTTACAGATTCCCTGGCTCTGAGAAATAAACAAACAAACAAGCTGCCACCATCATGTGATTTTTTTATTCCTAAAACTAGGGGTGAACACTTGGGTGCCCAGGAGTATCACAAGCTCTTTTGTCCTACAAGAGCTTGACAAAGAAAAGAGAAAAACAAGCTTCAGTCTCTGGTCGCTGACCCTTAGTTGGAGGCCTGCAGATACACACAGACAGACCTTCCAGGACACACGAATCAAATCATTGCCTAAAAAAAGATTTTTATTACAAAACAAATGATAAACTTGATAAAGCACACTTGGTTGCTAAATGTTACAGAGTAACTAAGGAAAACAAATTAAAACACAGAGAAAAATCTCTGGGCACAATGCGAGATGGTAAATGAGGAAGGGAAGCATAGATTCACACAAGTGTTTCAAACCAAACCTCAAAATAAAGAAAAATACCCTGGAAGTGACTAGATCCACTTTTCCGTTACTTACTTCCAATCTTTTCTTTATTCAGTCCACTTCCATGCCCTGAATTCCTTGGAGGTATGGTAGTCCTGCCTGGATTTATATCATTCTGTCTCGCAACTCCTAGTTTTTCTCTCCCACACAAAGAAAGCAGGCAAGGAATCTATACCCAATTCAAATTTCAACCCCCTATCTCAAGTGGTTCGCCGGGCCCTCTGGCCAACACCTTTGCTAGCTACCTGACTTTAACCCCTTAGTCACCTGATGCTGGTCAGCACTCCTGCTGTCTATGACAGTCTAATTATTTATTACAGTTTTTATATGGCTTTAACTAGCCCAGAGGATGATGGGAATTTTCCCTAGATCCAAGTCAGAGATATTTTTTCCCCACCCATTGGCTGCACTGATGCACATTCAATCCTACAGCCACTGTGTGGTTCCTTTTTCCAGCCCCCCTCAGACAGGCCTGCCTTTAGGGCAAAGCGAGCAAGGCGGTTGCCTCGGGCCCCACACCTTCAGGGCCCCGTGCTGCCCGGTGTTTGCCCACCTCTGCCTGCCCGGCTGCTCGCTTGCTGCCCTGGCTGGGAGCCGGTCGGCCACACAGTGCAGCCAACCACAACATGCCGCCTTGGGTCCCGCAAACTCTTTGGCCGGGCCTGCCCTCAGACATCTGTCAGACGGCACTTAGCTGGACTCCATGGGCGACAGCAGCACCCAGGCTGCTGCCAAAGCAATGTCACTGTGGAAGCGGTAGCTTGGCACAGATCAGTTCCCGATTGATTCTACAGGCCTTTGCTTCAGCTGTTTGGCTTCAGGAAAAGCAGCCGGTAGCCCTTCCTTTCAGCCCGGATAATGACCCTGATCCTGGGGATTGTCAGCCACCCACCCGTCCTAGGGAAGTCACGTGGCCAATCATGCGGGTCCATGAACTTAGCGGGGAGGTTTGCTGGAGGAAGGCCTCCAGGCTTTGCTCTACCAAGCTGCATGGACTTAAGATAAAGCTGGACTAAGGTCGGCATGCGGCCTGTCAGCCAGAACACGAATCCACAGCAGGCCACGTACGTCTGTGTTAGTATCCCTTTCGGAGGGCGGGTTTTAACGGGGGAGGGAGGAGTGATACTAATGTCTGTGGGACAAGTCACCTGAGGCGGGGAGCTCAAATGATGCCCCCATGCTCCTTTTTCTCCTGCCTGCCTGTTATGTCTCTTGTGCCCTGCTTCCTCCAGCACAGCACTCCGCCATCTCTGTGCAGCTAGAGCGGACAGAACACATCTGCACCCGCAGCAGACACACTTTTCTACACTCTGAGTCCTAGTGGCCCCCCCACAGTCTGGCACCTGAGGCGGCCACCTCAGTTCGCCTCAGGGTAGGGCCAGCCCCTGGAGGAGGGAGGGAAGGAGGCATGCGACATATGCCGTCTTCGCAGAAATCCTTCAGCCAGTTGTTTCAGTCACGCCCAGCAACCAATGATGCCGCTACCAAAGGCTGAGCTTTCCAAAAGAACTCAGCATCCGGCAGCATCCTCTGGGACCAGCATCGCAGAGGGGCTCTGCACCCGTTTGGGCCCCAGAAGACATGGCCAGATTTTTTCAGACACGTTCACCCTCGTGGGCGCTGAGGGCTGTCAGGCTGGCCCTTACCACTTGGTAGGCCAGTGACTTTAAAAGACACCGCAGCGCCGCTGGCCCACAGCTGCCCCGTGCATGGGCAGCAGGCGCCAGATGGGCACACAGCTGGCTGAAGATCCATTCCAGCCATGCTAGTGCGAGCTTGACGCGTCATGGTCAGGGTCTTGATGGGCTCGTGTCGAAGAGGTGGGTCCCGGACTTGTTCTCGCTGCTGTCGCTGTCTCCGCCCTTGCAGCAGAGCCAGCCCATCACACAGGGCTGGATTAAAGTAATCAGGGGACACAGGCAGAGGAGAAATGTGGACATCCCCTACCCCTCTCATAGCCAGTCCTCATGGCACTGCAGCTCACAGGCCTCCTGGCCAAAGGCACACGCCTCCCCCATGAACTGACTCACAGGGCCACAGATCACATGAGCCACAAGGCACTTGCCTCTGCCCTATAGGGCTGGGGACCACAGCCCACGCCCCGTCCCGCATGTAAGCCTTGACAGGGGACCCTTAACTCACAGCCATCCTTGAGCCTACTCCTGCATGCCTGCTTGCACCAGTTCCTCGGGACCCAGCCGCCGCACAGTTGAAAAAGAAAACACAAGCAAGCCCAGGATTAAGCAGCCCCATCGTGGGCTGGCTGCACAGCACTTACCGGGTAAATAGCCAGGCTGAGGAAACTCCCCCAGCCTCCCACAGCTCAGTGTGCCCCAGTGGCGTGCTGGCACAGAGCGAGGTGGTGCTGGATGATGGGCGCCCGTGGCCAGTGTGCCAGCACCAAAGAAGCACATAGCCATTTAGCACTGGCTTTTCCATAGGCCCGGCACCAATAGTCTTTCTAATTTTTCCATCCATGTGTGGAATAAATTTTGTTATGTGCACCAAGGCATGTACAGATGTGCACCACCAGTGGAACCACATGCTGCCAGCTGTGGTAGCGTTGCTAATCAGCTGGGCGGCATTTGAATCGCTCCTGGGTGGCCACCCAAGTGCTCGGCTTACAGGAATCCCTGCCCAGCACCCAGCACCCTGCACCCTGCCTTGGAGCACACGAATGGTGTTAGGTGCCAAGCAGCCTTCTTTCTCCCCACCAATTTTTTCCTAATAGCAAGAGAAACGTTTACAGTTCTTCTGCCTGTTTACCCCGTATTTGAAACCTGTTCTGTCTTCCAGGTTGTTAATGGAGAAGAGGTCGAATGACAGCCGGGACCGTGGTCATCACAGGTGGAATATTAGCGACTGTCATTTTGCTTTGCATTATAGCAGTTCTCTGCTATTGTAGGCTTCAGGTACTCCTCGCGGGGTTGCATGTCAGCCCATGCTTCTTTGTTTCAAAGCCACACAGGCTACTTGGTACAAGGGCAGCCCAGCCCGAGAGAATTCGCTCAAGGGGTGGGAGAAGGAGAATTCGCTCAAAGGGGCTTTTAGTAAGAGCTAGGGGAGCCAACAGCCATGCTGGGCCCCAGGGCAAGGTGAGGGGGGCAGCGCCATGCTCCCAGAAGGGGAGGAGCCAAGTGCAGTCAGCCCTCCGTGCCACCCAAACTGCACCCTCCCCCTGCAGAGCTGGGTACAGCATCCCCGCCTCCCCAGGAAGCCCTAAGAGCCCCCCGGAGCACTGGGGCGATTTAAAGGGCTCCAGATGCCACTGCAGCAGCAGCAGCCAGAGCCCAGAGCCCCTTTGAATCACTGGGACCCTTCCTCCCAGCAGGTCTGGTTCCTGCCAGAGGGGACAGGAATCACTTCTGCATGGGGAATGAGCGCGGGCCTTGGCTCGGGGCCAAGTTCCTCCCTGCTGAGAGCCAGTCCCTGAAGTATTCGGAGCCACACGCAGTGCAGTCCGTGGGCCTGGTGCTTTGAGCCATGGACATAGGCAGGTCCCTCCCTGTGGAGCTGGCAGGCTAAGCACAGCAGGAAAGAACGTGGGCTGACGTGTTCATTGGCCCTTGTGAGTCGGACTCTCGGCCCTTTGAGCTCCGGCCTGTCGCTAAATGGGCTCAAACTGAATGTGGTGATGAGGGGAGGAGAGTCCGTTTCAAAGGCTTGATGGAGCCTGGCACTGGAAAGTCCTGTTCAGTCCTGCCCTTGCCAACCGAGGCGTGCGCCCTCCAGCGCCGTTCATAGGGTGTGTCTAGACTACATGGCTCCGTCGACGGAGCCATGCAGATGAGGTTTCTAGACAGAGAGAAATGAAGCGGCGAACTAAATAATCGCCGCTTCAGTTACATCAAAATGGCTGCCGCGCTGTGCCGATTGGCTGTTAGGCAGCACAGCGCGGTAGTCTGGATGCTCCGCGGTCGACAAGGGAAGCCCTTGTCAACCGCCCCGTTATGCCTCATGGAATGAGGTTCCCTCGTCGACCGCGGAGCGTCCAGACTACCGCGCGGTGCCACCAAACAGCTGATCGGCACAGCGCGGCAGCCATTTTGATGTCAATGAAGTAGCGATTATTTAAATCGCCACTTCATTTCCCTTTTTCGAATACACTAATCTACATAGCTCCGTCGATGGAGCCCTGTCGTCTCGACGTACCCATAGTGTTAGCTCCAGAACACAGAGCGAGCCCTGGGGCCCGAGCCCCAATGCCCCTCCGCTTTGGGAACGTCCACAATCCAAACTCAGGTCCCACGCAGGATCTTGCGAGTGGGCCAGCTCTTTTTCGTGGGTTGAACCAAAGTTGCCCTGAAAATCAGGTACCCAAAAGGGTGTCACACGGAGGAGGGAGAAAAATTGTTCTTACCCTCTGAGGATAGGACAAGAGGCAATGGGCTTAAATTGCAGCAGGAGAGATTTAGGGTGGACATTAGGAAAATCTTCCTAGCTGTCAGGGTGTTTAAACACTGGAATAAGTTGCCTAGGGAGTTGTGGAATCTCCATCACTGGAGATAGCTAAGAGCAGGTTAGGCAGACACCTGTCAGGGATGGTCTAGATCAGGCGTGGGTAAAAGGGCCTCCACGGGCCAGATCCGGCCTGCCAAGCGGGTGGATCCGGCTTGTGGAGGCCCTGCTGCTCTCCCGCCCTCAGGCCAATTAGGGCTTGGGAGCGGGGGAGCACCTGAAGCCTTGTCCGCTCTGTCCCTGCTGTGGGGTGGGGGAGCTGCATGAAGCTTCCTTCGCCCTGCCCTGGCCCTGCAAGGAGCCCGCGGCACTTCAAAGTGCCACATGCCCCCCCCTACCTACTAGGCACCCATGCCCTGGAGGAGGCTTCCTGCGCCCCCCCGTCCCCAGGTCCTGATTGGGCTGGGGGCGCATGCCAAGCCTCTTCCAGGGCATGGGTGCCTAGTAGGTAGGGGGGGGCAAAGGGGCTCCCCCACCCCTAGACCAATCAGTTCTATGATGGCCGTTTGCAAAATTGTCCCTGTTTTGAATGAGCCGGCTGCAGGCTCGGGTTCCTTTGAAGTAACCAGCGACTTTCTGTTGCCTTGGCTTCCCAGTATTACTGCTGCAAGAAGGAGGACTCCGAAGAGGATGAGGAGGAGCCGGATTTTGCCGTGCATTCCCACATCCCTCCGCTCCACAGCAACCGCAATGTCGCGCTGACCAACGGGCCTTCGCTCTACTCCTCCTCCTCCTCCTCCTCGCCCTTCAGCAAGCAGCTCTCCCAGGGCACGACTGTCTGCCCCGGTTGCTCCCACTATGAGCCCCCCACCTTCTTTCTGCAGCCGCCGGAAGAGCTCCACAACGGGGGCGACCGCATCAGCTACAAGGCCATCAGCCAGGAAGATATTGAACTGCCGGTGACTGTGACCGGCCTACAAGTGCTGAACCCCAACCGCCTGTCAGCCATGCGAGAAGCTTTCTCTCGCAGCCGGAGCATAAGCACCGACGTCTGAGCGTCTGCCCCCCCTTCCGCACGCGGGTGGGCAGCTCAGCCAATGACCACGCCACGCAAGGCATTTTCTGTGCCATTGTGGCTTTCCGCAGTGGCGAAACTTTGAAAATCCATGGAAGTGTTTTAAAACGATGAATGTATTTATACATTAGCTAGACAGATAAATATCTTACATCGCTAGCTCATGGGTGAGCAAAAAAATAATGGAGGGAGGAGGCTGTAGAGGCTGCAGCTTGTCTGGGTAGGTTTTCTAGAGCTGGGCATTGAAAATGTTTTCTTTTTATACTGGGGAGATTTTGATATTGTGCATCCTTTCATACACCTAAAACGTCCCACCGTAACCATCCCCCCAACGATTACTACAGGGCCGTTTTCAATCTTCCAGGCAGGTTTACTGCCATGACTGACCAAACCAAGAGCACTGCATGGTTGAGTAGGGATCCGCAGCTTCTCTTAGGGTTGAATGTCTCTCCTCACAGGGGACTTGCCACCAGGGTCATGCAGAGCAGGACCAACGGGGACTATGTCACTGCATCATCTTGTGCAGTCGTGCTGGAGGGGGATGAACTTCCCAGATCATCTGAATTTACAGGTTAATAAATGCTGTTATCCGTGATGCTGGCGCTCTCTGTCTCCCTCTTTTTGGTCACAAGCGCTGAAGGGAAGTGCCTTGAGGTTAAGGATGCACAACTATTGTAAAGTCTCTTCCTTTTGTGGAGGCCCCCAGAATGTGGCATGCGTCTGGCCCCACGGAAAGTATCTTTTTTAAAGCACGTGCAAGCGCTACCAGATTTTTGTGGACCGAGAGAGCGGTGCATTGAGCACTTTTGTTTTTGTAAATATTCCCAACCCTTCCTCACCCCCCAACAATGCCGCCCACTATTTCTAAACTTGGGAAACGAGGGCTAACCAGAAATAAAGAGGGCATTTTATTTTTTTCCATCTGGAAATTTGTCACTTTTTAGACCCAAAGAAACAGTCACGTTCTCAATTCGAAGTCACCGACATCGCTCAGCTAATTTGCAGCAGTAGCCAAGGCCATGCACAGAGGAGAAAGGGGCTGCTGTACGGTTACCGATTAGCTGGTTCCCTATTCCCTCCTCCGCAGAAGAGGCTGTCTGAGTTTGCAAGGTCATGCTTGCTGAAAAAAGTAAAAACTGCACCATTGTTTTCTTCTGTTCGGATAACAGTTGAAACCTTGCCATCTTGTCGGAATGCTAGCAGCCAGGGAGGTCTCAACACCATCTATGGCCTGGCTTTGGTCGTTTAATATGAGAAGATGTGCCCTGAAGTTAGGTTCCCAATTGTAATTTCTTGATGCTGTGAATCCATAAGCATCAAATTCTCTGGCTGCGTTGGAGGGCTGTTGAGTGCTATTCTGATACAGTAAGGTGCTTCCCTGGCTAAAGCCCAATAGGGATCATTTTATTCATTTAAATAACAAACTATCCACAATTTCTTTAGCAGAGGAAGGAAAGAGCAATGATAGAAACTCATCGAAAGGCCCTTCACAACGCTCTCTCACGTGGCTCATTTTTCGGGCGCAGACAATTTGCTTTATGAACTTTGTAATGGCATTGTACAGCATCGCTCTGTATTGCGGAACGACTCGTTCAGCTACAGAGAATGGACTGGCTGCCAGTAGACTCTGCTGAGCTCAGCACTATGCTCTGGTTCAGGTTTCTTTATTACAGACGTGCGCTCAGCGAGGAAAGCGGTTGTTTCAGACTCATTGGTTTATAACGACTGTATGCAGCCGAACTGGCACTTATACGTTTGACCTTGAGCAGTTTTAGTTCCATGGGAGACCTTTTACACTTCACTCTTTACAACTTAATAGCTTAGACAATCTTAGGGTTTTTGTCTTGGTTTGTAACAAGTTCAGTATGCTGGGTTTCTTCCTTTCTGAGCTGCCTAATCGGGGAAGCATTGATGTAACTGTGCTCATTGGGAATGGTGTTCCGTCTTCTAAGTGATCTGATGTAACAGCAGCTGCTTCTCCAGGCCTCTTCCTTTGTACGAGTCTTACTTGTTTCAAATGCATTTAGCCTTTGGATTTTTTGCATTTCCCGTGGCTGTACTTATAGCTCCATCTTCCCTCTTTTTTCCCCCCTGTAGAGCTTTGTAACTAAGCAAGCAATGCCATCTGTTCCACTTTCCTTCACGTGGTGAACTGTTGTACAGGACTTCTGGCCTCACTGAGGGGGGGGAAAAAAGCAAATAAAAAAATAAACGACTCTTTGCCATGATTTCAGAGACTGCGCTTTTTTGATTGGCGGCGTTTGGAATCCCGTTGGAATCGTGTTGGTGCCTAGAGGAGGGGATTCCAGAAGTGCTCAGGACTGGCCCCACTGTGAGTCTTTGCCATTGATGGCCATGGAAGCACCGTCCCAGACCATGCTCTAAGGGGGTTCAGTTGTGGGTATCTGGCTAATCGTGTAGTCAATACAACTTGTATCGACTACGTGATTAGTTGACGAGGACCGCTCTGCAGAGCCACAGACCAAGCAGTCCCATCTCATGCCAGCTCCGGGAGCCACCCATGCTATGGGTCTCCATTTTAAATATAGTAAGAGCCGCCAAGCTCTTACTACATTTACAATGCAAAGGCGTAGCGTCCCAAACCAGTGCGAGCTGGCAGTGCTCGATCCTGGCTCGTGCTGAGTCCAGCAGCTCCTGTCTGCCGCAGAGGCTACTCCAGCACCAGCCCATTTGTGGCAGCCAGAGCTGGCTGCGGCCCGGGACTTGGCAGCAGCAGCTGCAGTCCGTGAGGGGAGGCAGCTCCCCACTGGGACCCCCGCAAACGGGCTGCTTCCGGAGCAGCCTTCCCTATTCCCCATGCTGCCTCTGATAGAGGCAGCAGGAGGGGGGAGGAGGGGGCTCCCCCCAGCACCAGTGCCTGTCCCCCTCCCCCCACCAATGCCTCTATGAGAGATAGCAAGAGAGGGGGGAAGGAGTAGTTGATACTCCACTTGACTACCTGGTAAGCTTATGTCTATTGCAGTGTTTCTCAAACTGTGTTCCACGGAGCCACAGGGCTCCGTAAGATATCGCCAGGGGCTCCGCGAGGTTGACAAACTGGAAACATCGATAGGTACAACACATACGATCAGTGGACTACTGGGGCTCCGCGTAAGTACAATACATACAATCAGTGGACCGCTGGGGTGCCGCATAAATTTTTACGCATGTAAAGGGCTCCAGAGCCCAAAACGTTTGAGAACCGCTGGTTTATTGGGTAGTAGACTAGTCAACGACTCAGTAATGTCCATACCATGCCCTTGCATTTATTCAGTGAGTTAGGTACAGTGTTGCCCCTGTCCTGGAGGGCGCACCATGGGGACCACTTACTCAGGGTATGTCTACACTACCCCGCTAGTTCGAACTAGCGGGGTAGTGTAGACATACCCTCACAGATTATTGATTGATTATTACTGCCTAGTTGTATTTGCAACATCTGGTTGTATTTTCTATAATGGGTAGAAGCCCAGTCATGGGCCATGACACCACCATGGTGCTAGGTGAACAGAGGACAAAAAGATAGTCCCTACCCCAAAGAGCTTACATCCCATTAACTGCCTACTCCCACCGTAAAATAAGTGATGCTTATTTGTATGATCATACCCTATGATTGCAGTGAATCCTATCCAATATCATTTTATCAGTGCCAATACCCAGGGACAGACGCACACTAAAAACTCAAGAATAAAACTAGATCCCACCATAAATATGACAATTTTATTAAAATATAATACATATGAGTACAACTTAATGATTATAGGGATAAGGTTCACTGTTTGTAAACAAATATATTAAAAAGAGCACGTCTTTTTGTGATATAAAGTGCAGTTATGTTTCATTATTATGTACAATATGTCAGCATTATGATTTTTATAAGGCCTATGAAACTAAAGTTTGATTATAAGATAAAATTCTCTGAAAAAGTATACACCTACATATTACAAAAGGCTTTGGCTTGAGCTCATGTAATGAATGAAATTCAGCTCCCAACCACTATAAAGGAAATAAAGGCTAAAAAGCAGAGCTTGTGGGATGAATTATAAAACAGGTTCTAGGATCCTCTGCTAAGGCAAACATGACGGTGTTTTTAATTTCACGTGGCTGGCTCTTTGACAGTGTCAGTTTAAAGCGCGTGCAGACACAAGACAATAAAGGAAAGCCCTTTCAAAACGAGTGAATGGTTGGAATGAGAGTGAATCAAATATACAAGATTCTATGTACAGCTTTTGAGAATCACATGCTACCAATATACAGTAGTAACAAAGCTTTCATGTCAGCTTCGAAACAAAATGTTGGTGCCGTTTCCCTCTGTTCTGAGGAATGTGAGGAGCAAGGTTTTGCCCCGGTGGAAGAAAACAGCCTGGTGGCACGTTTGTAGCACTTTTAACTCTTAACCAGACTGGTACAATGAGCTCTCAGTAAACCGTTAAGTCAAACCTGGGAGCATCACCCTGATGTCTGTTACTTCTGCCAAATGCTGGATGCTCGAAACGAGCCTACCCCTAATTCCTTCTGTCTCCAAGTGCTGAAGGCATTAGTCCAATCGCTCCCCTAGGAATGGGGTGCCCTACAGGACCTGCAACAGGCTTTGCTGTAATACCAGTGGCTGCAGAGATTCACTTTGATTGCCAAAGCGCAGTTCGTTCCCGCTTGGTCCTGACAGCTGTCATCTAGAGAAGAGAAACACATGTTGGCAAGCAGATGAGTGAGGTCAAAAGGCACCAGTGGGGAGAAATTACAGTCCAAGTTATTTTAGCTCACTTCTTCCCACGCACATTAACTCCTTGCCTCCTTGGCGGTTTTATTGCTCTGCAACCAAGGACCCTGTGTCTGGCGCTGTACACACATACAACATAAAGACAGCAATGTCTGAGTCAAAGTGCACATTTGAAATCTTGAGTGCAGCAGTAGGGTGGTAAAAAAATCAGAGGATGTAACCGGCGGAAGGACTGGAGGAGGCTCAAGCCAGTCCCATCAGGGTGCACCGCACAGTCGCTCTCGATACGGGGAGCTGTGGGGATCTTGGAGCATGTGGGAAAGTGGACAAATGAATGGGAACCCTCTTACAATGAGGCTGCTGAGCAGAGCCACGCTCCCTAACGGTCTCAGATGGCCAGAAGCACTTGCTGGTGCAGAAGAATCCCTCCCTGCTTGCTGGGTTTTTAGCGCCCCCTTTGCCCCTCCATGCTGCCTTCCATCCCAGGGCCGTCAAGATCCTTACAAATCTCACAATGGGAGGCAGGCAACACCTTCCCCCCGTAACGGGCAGGGAGTAGCTGGAAAGGGGTTACCAGAGGTACCCAGAAAGTCTATGGCAGAGACAGGCCCGGAACCTGAATGTGACTCCCAGGTTTGTGCTTTTACTGCAGGACTATTCTTATTCCCCAATCCTATTAGTGAATTAGACCTGGATGCTCACTAAAGCGCACAGTTGCTTCGAGCCGCCAGAACATACTTAGATAATGAGGTGGTTACAAATCCTCCAGGACATTAGGAAACCAAAGTCATTAAAATAATGGCACCGATGAAACGTACTGGAACATTAGAGGGAATTCACCGAGAAACATGCCACCAGCGTTAGCGTTTGTCTTTAGGCCAGCATTTTAGTCCGAAACATGCCACCAGCGTTAGCGTTTGTCTTCAGGCCAGCATTTTAGTCCTTTGAAGCACACCAATTTCATTTAACAGGGCCGTCTGCAGGTTTAATGGCTGTGAGGAGCCATCTTATTTGGACATGGGCACCTGCCACCATTATGCCTTTGCTGGGCTGAATGCAGATTTTTTTTAGCTGGAAAAGATACAGTATAATAATACTGCTCTGAGACCTTGACTATATTTACATGGAAGGTCAAATTAAATACGCAACTCCAGCTACATTACTTGTGTAGCTGGAGTCTATGTATTTTAATTCAACTTGTGGTGCAGCCTCCCCACCAGGAGGTAGACAAGTACAAACGTTCCTGTCAACTTCTCTTACTCTTCATGATTCAAGGAGTACTGGCATCAACAGGGGTGCCCTCAGCATTTGATTTAGAGGGTCTTTACTAGCCCCACTAAATCAAACTCCGGAAGGTCGACTGCCACAGCGTCAATCTTCCTAGTAGTGAAGATGTGGCCTCGTATGACTAGGACTTCTGGTTCAACTGATAAACCTTGATAAAACATTCCACTACACAAACATGACATTGGTATTTAGGCAATAAACACCAGAAAAACATTGCAAAGTGTCTCCGTTCATTTTGGCTTCTCCCCTTTCCCAGTGCAGTTTATCAAGGGGCTCTCCCTGCATTCTAGCTGGTATCTAAGGGCTTGTCAAAAGGAGCAGTAAGGTAATGTACAGAGGTGTGAGTTCTAAAGTGTGATTGCTAAGGAGTGTTAATGTGTTAGGCATTAATTGGGCCTTTGTAGACCTTGCTGGTGTGCACTGGAAAGTGCCCTAGTACACGTTAATTTAGCATTGTTTGATACAGTACTACAGGTATAAACAAACAGATAAATCCAAAAGCCCCTGGGTTTTGGACATCTACACAGCCCTCAAAGTAGTTCAAACTAAACCCCACACTTAAATGAATAAAGGCAGAAAAATTCTGGACAAGCACCTTTCATCAGGCGCTTTCAGAGCACTTTATAAAAGTCAGTGTCATTATCTACATTTTCCAGCGAGGGAAACTGAGGCACAGATTGTTGCTCTGATTTGTCCAACATCACCCAGCTGTCCATGGCAGGGCCGAGACTAGAACCCAAGTGCCAGGGCTCTGGCCAATAAGTCAAACTAACTGTTTGCATCTTACTGCACGGTAGCTAGTGTTTCTCATGCATCTGTGCCAAGTCACTGTACAACTAATACACATATATTGCCACTGAAAAGCAGCCACCTCTGGGGTGGAGAGCAGCTACAAGGCATGGAACAAGTGCCCCCACTATGAGGGGATGTAATATGTTGGCCAGATCTCTTCCCTTTCCGGACGTGCCACAGGAGGGGAGAAAAGACTGCTCAGCACCTTAGAGGATCAATGCGCCTGAGAACTCACAGTGTGAAAATGGCTTATTGCAGTTTAGCTTAAGTCCTGACCCATATAACATAAGCTGAACTGATACAAACCACTTTTAGCGCCGACTGTGGCCACATGGGGTTATACCAGTATAACTATACAGCTACGTCTAGACTGGCCCCTTCTTCGGAAGAGGCATGCTAATTTCTAACTTTGGAATAGGGAAAGCCGCGGGGGATTTAAATAAACATGGGCGCCGCTTTTTTTCCGGCTTGGGGAAAAGCCGGAAAAGAGCGTCCAGACTGGCGCGATCCTCCGGAATAAAGCCCTTTTCCGGAGGATCTCTTATTCCTACTTTCAAGTAGGAATAAGAGATCCTCCAGAAAAGGGCTTTATTCTGGAGGATCGCGCCAGGCTGGACGCGCTTTTCCGGCTTTTCCCCAAGCCGGAAAAAAAGCGGCGGCCATGTTTATTTAAATCCCGCGGGGGATATTTAAATCCCCCGCGGATTTCCCTATTCCAAAGTTAGAAATTAGCATGCCTCTTCCGAAGAAGGGGCCAGTCTAGACGTAGCCTACCTGTGTAACTATATGGCTTTCACTATACCTGTGTAAATGGTAAAATTGGCCCATGTAGACAAGGCCTTAGTCTAACTCATCCACTATACATCTTAGCAACTTTGTCTGTCTGTGTGTCTGTCCGTCTGTGAGTCCATTTGTTCAAGAACACCTCAACAGCAAGAGCTGGGACCACCAAATTTGGCAGGCAGCTGCCGCTTATCATAATTTAAAGCACGGTCAAGGTTTGGTTGTGCCAGGACAATGGGATGTGCCTGGAATGTGATTGTTTCACATCAAACAGAAAGCGAGGGATGTCATCACAGGCACAGTTATACTGATAAGTGATCACAAGGGGGCCCTAGATGGCAGCCGCTGGATGGCAGCATGGCCCCCACCACTTGGTTTCTGGGAAACCAAGGTTAGGGACATCATTCCTGCCCTTCCTGGTTAATAGACATGGATGGACCTATCCTCATGAATTTATCTAGCTCCTTTTTAACCCTATCTTGGCCTTCACAATGTCCTCTGGCAAGGAGTTCCACAGGTTGCTTGTGTACCTGTTTTTTAGGGGTTTGCAATGAAAACACAGCCCCAAACTCTGCCTTGGAGAGCTGATCTAGATTCTTTCTCCTCACCTGGTGGCTCAGTAGGGCAGGGCTGCAGGTCACAGGTTTGTTTACCCACAGGCTTCACAAGCGGGTCACAGCCACGAACAATATCTGTCCCCTGGTAGCACTTCACATCTCGCATTCGCACGCCAATGCCGCAGGTTTTGGTGCACTGGGGAACAGAGCAAGGGAGACATTGTTGGCAGAGGCAGCAGGTCCTCCGAGGGACGTGCATGGAGATGTCACCTAGAAATGCGCCCTGGGCTTGGGGCGCACAGCGACTAACTCCTCCCCTTTCCTAGAGATTCCTGTCATGACTTCCCAGCGCAACAGTTTTCATGGGTGCTTTTGAATCAAATCTTCGGTGGTGGCTAGACCAAGCCAAAAACCTTCCCGACTTCCTCAGCACAGCACACGCGCCCTCCCTCTCTCCCCGCCGTCACCGTACAGAGCTGGGCACTGCTCTTCCATCCCACATCCGCAGCATCTAGGCCTTGCGTTGACCCTCTGCACCGAGGGGGGTGTCACTCCTGGGGCTGGTGTAGCCAAGGCGAGCAGCCCAGCAAGTCGGGCAACCTCCAGCCCCAATTTCCCAGCCCCTTTGGGATGTAGGATGAAACCGGGCCTGTGTCTCAGCTTGTCTTGTGTCGTTCTGAGTGCTGCGCGTGTGGGTACTGACGTGTGGTGGCAGTGCTAGGGAGGAATCGCAAGGGGATGATTCTAGACTACACCGACGCCTGGCTTTAGAAACTGAACTTAACAGGTGTCTGGCCCTCTTAGAGGAAAGGGCTAAAATACAATGAAAGGGGCCTGTGGTTCTGGATTTCCCTTTGAAGCACCCAACATACCTAGGCTAAGTCTACACTCGTGGGTTCTTGTGCAAGACCATCTTGCGCAAGAGTTCCTGTGCAAGAACTCTTGCACAAGAACACAGCCACACGGCCGTGTGCTTTTGCGCAAGAGAGGGCAGTGTGGATGCTCTATTGCGCAAGAAAGCTCTGGTGGCCATTTTAGCCATAGGGCTTTCTTGCGCAAGAAACCCCTACCACGTGTCCACACTGCCCTCTTGCGCAAGAGCTCCTGCACAAGAGGGCTTCCACCTGTTAGAGAAGAGCGTAGCTCTTGCACAAGAAGCCCTCTCTCCCCACGCTTTACTGTAAATCTTCTCGCGCAAGAGCAGCTGGGCTGTGTGGACGCTCTCAGGAAGAACATCAGTTATTGTGCAAGAACCCACCAGTGTAGACATAGCCCGATTGTGCTATTTAATGATGATAACAGCAAACATCTTGTGAGGCAGGTTGGGCTAAGACCCAGCTTTTGGGGTCTGGATAGTGGCCTCTGATTGAAAGACAAGAGCTGCCCTACAGCTGCCCCGGACAATCAGTCCGAACCAGAATCTGGTCCAGTTTTGAGTTTTCATACCATGAGGGAGTTGCTGTCAGGGCCCGTTTAAGGTCTTCGTGGGCCTTAGGCACTCTCATAATCGTAGGCCTTAAATTAGATTATATATAAATATATAAGGGAGAAATGCCCTATTGCCTGTTTAATTGTATGTTATACCTGTATGTTGTTTGATTAAAGATAGCAAAGCATGAGTTTGATTTAGCAGTTTTCTAATTTTCAAGTCAATTATGATTTTTTTTTTTTTTAGGCCCAACATTTCTTGTAGGCCTGAAATGTTTTCCTAGATCCTAGGCATTGTGCCTATTGTGCCTACTGGATAATCCGGCCTGGTTGACTTGCTGCATGGTTTCCTGGAGTATATTGAGGGATTTCATACATGTTGTGCCCCAGAAAGAGCCCCGCTGACTGGTGCCCCCTATTTCACCACAGGCCAGGCCTCAGCAGGACAAACGTCTCAGCACTGCTCTCTATCAGGGGGCCTCGACCTTGTGCCGCAGGGCTTCTCTTGAGGCTCGTGAGGTCAGCTCCTCGTCCATGAGCCCGTCAGGCGAGTGGGAATTCATACTAGCAGTAGCGACGTGGGGACATGGTTGGCTCCCTGGGGAACTGTCCCAAGCCATCGCCACAGGGACAAGGTGGGTGAGATACAATCTTTTACTGCACCAACTTCCGTCGGCGGAAGGGCCCCGTTTTCTCGGTGGAGCGCGAAGGCTCGGCCCTTCCTCCCAGCGAGGTCGGCCCAAGCAGAGAACAGCAGGGATCAGCTTGACTGCAAACCCAGCAACGCTTTCCCCGTCGCCACGCCGGGAAACCTTTGCTTAGTCAATCTCAGCTGCTGAGCCACGGGCAGAGCGCACGTCGGGAAGTGTATTACTGCTCCGAGGACCGCATGCTGATCCCATTCTCTGCCAGTCCCCCTCCCTTTCCCCACTCCCTCTGCTGTCCCGTTACACCATTACTATGGCTGCCCCCAGGGGAACTGACAGCTGCCACGGCCCCCAGCACAAAGGGAGAGGAGTGGCTTTGTGTTCCTGAAAGGGGCGGGGCTTCTGGCAGAAGGGGCGGGGCTGAGGCAGCCAGCTGTCCATGCCCCACCCCTGAGAGCCTCATGGAGCATGCAGCATGCCGCTCCGGGCCCCTGTGAATCACTCGGCACCAGGGCAATTGTTCCTTTTGCCCTCTCTGCTAGCAGCTCTGGCTGCTCCTAAAGCCCAAGCCAGACTCTCACAGGCCTGTGCAAAAATAAGCGAATCGAGCCCCAAACCCTGCCTTGCCTCGCCGTTCTCCCCAAGCGCAGCGAGTGCCGATTGCCACCTGGCAGGGCCTGCGCGCCACCCTGAGCGGCTCACTCGGCACCAGGGCAATTGTTCCTTTTGCCCTCTCTGCTAGCAGCTCTGGCTGCTCCTAAAGCCCAAGCCAGACTCTCACAGGCCTGTGCAAAAATAAGCGAATCGAGCCCCAAACCCTGCCTTGCCTCGCCGTTCTCCCCAAGCGCAGCGAGTGCCGATTGCCACCTGGCAGGGCCTGCGCGCCACCCTGAGCGGCTCAGGCAGCGAATGGCGCGCTCGGTACCGCTAGCCAAACCCTGATCAGCACTTGGCAATGGTGCTGCGTCGCGCCGGCTGAGCCATCGCCGGCCGGGCCATGGGAGCTCGCCTGGTGTGGTCCCTTTTGCGCTCCCTAAGGGCATGGGCAGCTCGTATGCGTCCTTCGCCGCGCCACACAGAGTGGGGAAAGAACCTGGCTCTTGCCTAGCGGGGACATGGCTGGGGGATCCCCAAGGGTTTCTCTGTGGGCGAGCAGGTGTCATGCATTCCCACTGCAGCTATTCAAGCAGTCAAGCACCTGCCCATCTTTAGAGAGGAGATGGATGTAATGCCCATGAGAGGCGGCAGGGATTGGGGTCCTCAGGAACCTAGCAGGGAGGTGATCAAACCCACGGAGCCAGCGGGTAGAAGGGGCGTTTGAAAGTCTTGGCTCCAGAAAGAGCAGCTGCCACTTCCATGCTCCTCGGCACAGCTGTGTAGGAAACGCGCGTCTCTTCCCGGTAGTCAGGTAAGTCGCCAGGCTCGGCAGAGGTTGCCAGCTTGGATGCCATGATGTTACTGAGCACTCGGCTATGGCTTCCTAGAACTCATGGCACTTTGTGAGGGTACTGCTGTCCTCATTTTACAGACAGGGAAACTGAGGCACAGAACAGGGAAATGACCTCCCAAAGCTAATGCAGCAAAGGTAGGAACAGAACCAAGGTCTCTTGGCTCCTAATCTGGTGCCCTGTCCGCTAGAGCAGCGTTTCTTAAACTTTTTAAAACCGAGGAACACCAAACAATAATTTTTTTTTATGCGGAACACCAAGGATTTTTTGTTGAGCAAACCTCCGACTGCCTCTTTAAGAAACACTGCGCTAGAGCTGCCTGCTTCTCTCCTGAGCGATGCTTCCTCTCATCCATTAGTCCCCTGCTGTTGCCAGTTGACCTGCCACCCCGGAATACACCCTAGCTCTCAGCAGCCCCAGTTCCAACAGGCTGCACTTTACCTCAGACCAGGGGGTCGTGTACCACTTGAAGCAAGGCCGCTCAAAGCAGGTGGTTTCTTCTATGGGCTTCTTGGTGACGTCACAGTCGGTGGGGTTCCGCGTTTTGATTTTCCCATTGACGATCTCCAAGCACAGCACGATCCTCTTCTTCACCCCCCGGCCGCACGTGGTGTTGCACTGCCATGGGAGGAAGCCAGACAAAGAGAGACACCAGCGTAAAGAGTGGGAGAAATGGCTGGGGGCC